CACAACCATGGAAATAAACTATAGTGTAGAAAGGTTATACTTTAATACTATTACAAAAAGTATTGTCTGGGTGGGGCCCTCATCATGTTCCAGTCTCTGCCCATTTTATCAAACATTTTTTAAGATGAAGAAGATTTAGTAGACACATTATTTTACACCACCTTGGTTGACCTCTTCTCGAGGGTGTTTCCGTCGATCTATGCTGATCCAGCGCCTGAATGCAGCCCACCTCTTCATCCACAGAGGTTTGTCAAGAGCAACAGCTTGAACATTGAAGCAAACGTTGGTGGACAGATTCTGTTATTATGTACAATGTTATAAATGTGCTGTGTGATAATACATTTTACATCATCCTCATGAGTAATAAAAACTTGTAGAGCTCTATATCAATTTAACAAATGTGTCATGTGGGTGTGTCATGTGTGTGTGTCAGATCATCGCTGCTTATTATCTAAAGTCAACTAAGCAATTTTTAAAACTGATTCCATCAAGTGTTTCAACTTGCTTCATTCAGTTTTTCCTCTAAAAAACTTAATTTATAATGTTTTTAAAATCAGTTTATTGCACTTGCACATATGCATTGATTGCAAACAATAAAGCACATATACTTCAGTAAAACAGTTAACATTTTATTTATTAGATTTATAACAGGTTTTACATGCTTTATTTTTTAAGATACATTCATTCAAATAATCAAATAATGTCAGTAGTTCAATTATTTAGTATTATTTAGGCCCTGTTTATTTTCATTTTCAAATGAATCCATCCCTGTTCGTAAGTTTTTCGGAAATCCCAGCATGGTGTCTGAATATTTCATAACTCTTTTGTCTTATCCCGCCCTCACCCCCGTGTTTCGTCATACAGGAATGAGGGTGTGTTGTCATGCTGTTACTTTCCTCCCAGAAACACCTTTCAGTGGAGAGACAGAAATCACATCAGGAATTAAAGAGAAGACATGGTTGAATAATAAAAAAGAAAACATTCAGGTTATCTGCTGCACAAGCTCAAGAGCAGGTAGAGAGTCACTGGAAACATAGTTGAAACTTGATGACGTTTAATGAAGGGTTTATTAATCAGAGGATCGGTTGTAATCATTGGCTCATTTATTTTGAGTAAGAGATGCAAGCTTCAGTTTATGTCTCAGTGTTTGCATGAATGTGTGCGTGAGAACGACGGTGCAGGCCTGACCTGCTGTGTTGTCATCATACTGGTTCAACTGTGTGTTTTGGATTAAAGGACATGGCCTCTCGTCCTTCAGCTCTGGTACGCTGCCTGGTAAAACCTCCAGCACATGTGGGGCCACTGGGACCTGTGTAGGCCGCCAGGACACCAGAGGGTCCTCAGGACCGGTGGACGTGTTTGTTGTCTCCCAGGCACCTGAGAGAGGAAAAATTACTTTCAGATGATGAACATGATGTGAAAAATCAAAATCTAATATCCAGACAGACAAAGAAATGAGGAACTGGGGATGATCTTTAAACAGCTTGATGGAGGACAGATAACTTTCAGGCAACAAAAACATCTGGATGGAAGATGGTAGACCTCACAGTGACATAACCGAGGCCTGAAGCCAGTCTTCCCATATAGAAACCCACTGACCTCTGCATGCAGACCATGCGACTACAAATGCATGTATGGAAAGTCTTATATCACAGAAAACATTTCCAATTGATTCTTCTGCAATTGAAGAAAAGGGTGAAATATTGTAGTTATCTAACATGTGTTTGAAGGTGTGTTGGAGTCTGGTCCTGACAGGCCATCATGTCCAGATCTCACACCAGACGCTGCCAAGAACTGTGTGGTGTGTTGGTTCTGATACACTCACTGCTCCACTGCTTCACAAGAGAGGCAGCCATGCAGCTGAAATATTTAAGCCTGGTCTAACTTCACCTGTCTGCCTGCAACACATTCATTACACAGAGCAGCTCCAGCTAAACAAAGTCCAATATCTGCTGCAGAAATGAACACAAGAATGTCAACACCATCCTGCAGATGAACCCATTGCTGATGTGTGAGGTGTTTGTAAGATGTTAGTTGTGTCTCACACTCACGTTGCTTGCCTGCAGGAGCCACAGAGTGATGTCTCCCGACTTTCTTTCCCAGGAAGGTCAGTGAACATGATCCACTCTCAGCTCCAGGAGAGTTCAGGTACATTGTGTGTATAATTGTGCTTCCCCTGTCACTACTTTTCTCGTGTCTGCTATTTGAATCTGCAGGAGAAAATATAATTAATATTGGTTTGAAGCCAAACAGATCAAAGATAGATGAATACAATTGAAAATCCCAGAATATTTTCTTCTATATCATGAACTCTTGCTCAACCCTCAAACTGTTTGCAGATGTCAGAAAGCTCACACAGCAGATTCGTTCAGGGAGTGTCATCTTTTTGTCAGAACCAAGCTAAAATAAGCTATGAGCTTCACTACAGGAAATACTGAAAATCCCAAAGTTCCTCTGATTTCACTGTGCTATAAAGAACAAATCTTACATGTTTGTATGATCTGGCACAATGCCACAGTAAAGTTATTTCAATTGCCTGGAAAATGAGCAGAAATATATGAAACCATCAGAAAACACATGAGAGAAGTAAACTGGGCAGTAAAAGAGTTACCTGGCCTTGGAACAGATCAGGTCCCTCCTGTGTGATTCAGTGCAGTTGGAGTGCTGCTATGCTGACGAGGACACGTCGGTCCTGATCTCTAAGGGGAACCAAACTCTCAACCGTCTTTAAATATTAAACCTGTGCAGATGGAGTTTCACCAGGTACAAGCTTAAACCCCACGTAGCCTGCTAGCAAAGAGATGCCCCAAACAGTCCTCAGGTTTCCCGTGTGTAAGATAGAGATTGTAACTAGATGCTTACTCATACATACTGACACACGCGTGCTGGTCACACACACTCATTTCACCCAGTCTGTTTGTTTACCTGGGCACCCCACACTTTCCTCAACTGCTCTGGTGAAAGGTATGAGCCAGAAATAGGTCAACAACATTCAAACGTATTGGGATATTGCTTATATGTGAGTTTGTTGTTGTCATAATTGGATACCTTGGCCCATAAAAGATAAAAACCAAACACAAGTCTACTCAAAAGTACTGCTCACAAAACAGGATATTAACTCAATCAACTGACCTTAAAAAATGAGACAACAGGGAGACATATAAACTGGCTGATCAAACCATTTGGAAATCATAGGCAGGAAACAAAATAGACAACAACTTCAACTTCATATAAAGAAACCCCATTCTGCCCCCTTGAAATGCAACACTTGGTTTGGCCCATTTACTGGGGCCTCTGTATTTAAACAGACTCCACCCTCAGACACTTTTTTGTCCAAACCAGGAAGGAGGACAGGCACATCATTAAAACCAAAAAAAATGTTTATTAACTGATGTGACTACAAAGAAAATAATAAAACTTGTGATAATGATGTGAATGTGTGAGACCATCAACCTAAATTAAATCCAATGTAATGAGTGGGATAAGAGAATGAGTTTTACATTGTATTTAACATGTGTGGCTGTAATACGACCATCGCAGTTGGAGAAGAAACCATCTGGTTTAAAGATAGAATAGATTTGCTACAGTGGTAGGTCCATATACATCCTAAAAAATCTATTTCATGGTCTTAAATGTAAGCTACTCTCTGTCCTCTTGTTCTTGGCCAAGCACCTCTGAGAATTGACTTTCTCTTTTCTTAGACTAGGATACTCATTTGGAACATTTGGCTGAGCACCTTGCTTAAAGATAAATCCAGATATGATGCCACTTTAATGAAAATACAGCTTTGCCTCCTCCTTCCTTTTTCAAATCCAAATGTGCCCTGACAGTATAGTAGTGTCACATTCAAATTCTGCAAGCTCTGCGAATAAAAAATGACGCAATTACACACAAATGCACAAGTCGCAACAGGTAAAAGTGTGTCTTAATTTTGGAAGTCCGCAAATGTGTCATCATCCTGGCTGTTAATCTCAGCCACACACTCACATGAGCTCAGTCTGCAGATGGCGTCAGGCCCTGGCTGTAGAGTCATGACATCATGCCACACCTTGGAGAAAGTCCTTACCTGCCCACACTAAAACTACACTCTTCTCAGGAATGTTCAGGTGTTCTATGTGTACTTCCTCCTACAGGACAGATAACAGATGGATATACAATGAGCTATGGATTGATTTGAGGCCTCGCCCCCTGATGACAATTTTGCAAAGGGAGAAACACTGCAGCAGAAAAGTCAAACGAACAATACACATACTTCACTCTTTCTTCTGTCAACATGAAACTGTTGATTATGCTGTGGACACATAATCCATCCCAGCAGTGAACACATAACCTGTGGAACAGATGAAAACACCTGCATGTGTGTTCTCACTGTCCAGAACTGTACGTTTAGAGAGTTACTTTACATTTCTGCTTTACTGTCCATTATATCATAACCCTAGACACAGGCCTTTCTGTAAAGAGTCTGCAGAAGGTCTGATGACTGTAGGATTCACATCCTGTTTAAGTGTTTACTGGTTTTGTGTGAAGTGATACCAACAGTATAGGAAGCTCTTACACATTGGATTTGTTTCAGGCACAACCAGGGCCAAAGTTAAGTTTCATGTGTTTAATGTCCACGGAAAATGATTGTGCTTTAATTTTGGTGGTTGTGACAGTCTGGCGTAGATGAAGGTGTATCTGTACTTCTGCTGTGATCAATAATAAAAACGAGAGAAAATGCATCAGTCTAATAACTAATGCAGCATTAAAACCCAAGCTAAGTGCACGAGTACATTTCAGTGAATCACCCGAACACACTGCTTCCTCATATCTATTAGAGTCTACACGTGATCTCAGTTTATATAAAACATCTTGCACTCAGTCAGCATGTGTTTCCAACTAAGCTGCAGGACTGTTCTGCTGGAGGTTCTGCTCACCGTACTTTACGCACGGCGGTGCGCTGTGGACTCTGTGGCTGAGGTTCAGTCCAATCCCCGCTGCTGAGAGCAGTGTGTGGGCTGGACCGGTCTCTAGGTGTGGTTTCTGCTGTGTATAAATACGCTCCCTCTGTCGCTACAACACCTCCTCAACCTCAGTCACACATTCCTCCTCCTCTCCAAGGCGTAGCGGTAAGTCATTCTCCTACCATGAAACTAAAATAATCAGATCTCCAACTTTTTATGTTTGAGAGTTTGGTGAATTATGAAGCCAGAAGTATTATTCAATAATACGTATCATCCTCAAAGTAACGATTACACCCATGAGGGTGTGGTCTGTAAAATAGCAGAAATGTTTTGTTTTTATTTACGCAGTGTTGAGCTGGTTTTGATTACGCATTGATGTCAGTGTGAGTGTAATCATAAAGAAGACTGTATGTGTAACGTTGCCTGAACCAAAGTGTAATGTACAGTATGTCTGTGTTAAGGGTGAACGTGGGTGTGGTCAGACAGTCTTTAAATATTTGCGCTCATGCAAAACTCCAATATAGAAACCTACAGTAAATATAAGTATATTTACTCTCCAGCAGTGGATTCACATACTTTCCTCCTGTCTTTGTTTAACTTGAGAAAACTTTTCTAAAGTAGAGTCAAGAAGGAGTGGTGACAGCTTCTCCTTCGAATACAGGGAATTCACTGTGTTGACTTATCTTCAGATCATCTGCTCTGTCTCACAATAGACCCCAGATTAATAGATCATTACATGTTGGATTAGGTAATCATATTAAGATTACATCAGTGCTGATCATTTTCTCCTCTCTTCTCCTCTCCTCCTGCAGACAGACTCCAGCAGTCCCACCATGTCTTTCATCCAAGCCCTAATGCAGCAGACAATCTATCTGGGCATGCCCGATGACTCAGTACGTAGCTCTGTGGTTCTTGTTCCAGTTGCTAAGGCCAACCACTCAGTTTTTTCCTTTTTGTCCTCGCCCCCTCTCATCCTGTGGTATGCTGGGGTGGAAAAATTTAGAGTTTAGAACGAGGGGAGGGAGAGAAGCATAGAGGATATAGAGGGAAAAGAGTGAGGTGTTGGGACGGATGGAAGGGAAAGGAGTGGTACAGAATGATAAGAGGACTGTTATTAAAGTGAAAGGGGAGTCTTGATGATAAAACATTATGTGCAATAAGAAAGATGACCAAACTTAGTCTTGTGAGTGTGTGACTCATAGAGACCGGAATTGGTGCCCCTCCCTTTATAAACTCACAAGCAGAACAAAATGCTTCGGATTTCTTAAAGTGAACGTTTGTGAAAGTTGTGTAAGATTACCCTTCATGATTTCAGTCTGCCCTGCTGGTATTGTTCAGTTCAGTCCAACAGGGGTGTGCACAGGCACTTTACAGGAAACAGTTGTGGTTTTTAGAGACAAATCTGTCTCACATTTCCTTTTTTATGTCCTGTGAATGTCTAAAGCTGGAATAAAGATGCAGGCAATGTGTAAAGGGATAAAACCTGCTACTTGACTTTCTCAAAGAGCACTTTTATGACCTGCCCCACGCACAAGTCAAGTATTTACCAAACACACAATAATCTGTTATGTTGCTCAGGTCCTAAGGAATGAAGGAACAGTGACCGCAGCTCCTAACTTCAGCCCCAACGGAGACGCAGCAGTCCTGGATAAGGCCATCAAGGCAAAAGGTGAAGCTGAAATGATGCACACAGGAAAGGGCTTGCAGCGTGTGTGAACATGTTGTGGATTTTCACAATGTTGCTTTACCTCAAGTATGGTGGGCTAGCTTCTGTAGTGAAAACCTTAATGCCCTCTGCTGGCCAACATGCAGCATTACTTCAAACATTGTCATCTAGCAGAAAGATACCTCACAGCTCCACGAGGGCTCTCACAGTGAAGAAAATAAAAGGGTTGAATCGATAGAGATAGAATTAAGGGTTTGGTGGCCATGGCTCTTTGAGTGGTGATCAAGACTAGAGAAGCATTTACCATTTATAATATAAGCTGAATTACTCATTTGTCTCTGTAACACATTATATGCACAATGATCAGGATTCTAATCAATATCCTGTCATTTTTGCAGGCGTGGATGAAAACACCATCATTGAAATTCTGGTGAAAAGGAGCAACGAGCAGAGGCAGCAGATTAAAGAGGCTTACCAGCAGTCCAGTGGCAAGGTAGTGAGAGTTACACAAAGATGGTCACAGCAAGAACACAGAACACCTTTTCATATAAATATATATATATATATTGTTCCAGCACTGTTATGCACATGATCATCAATAACACTGGCTATTCCCTCCTAGCCTCTGGAATCAGCGCTGAAGAGCGCCCTGAAGGGAGATCTGGAGGATGTGGTGTTGGCCTTGCTGAAAACACCAGCCCAGTACGACGCCCAGCAGCTGAAACTGGCCATGAAGGTACACAAATGCAAAAAGTTGAAAAGTCACATCCTTCTGCTAAATCTGTCATCATGTTCTTCTGTCATTCAGTTTTCTCCATAACTGCACATCTGATCGATTTCAAAACAATTGCTTTGAGTGAGCGATTGTCGAGAACACAAACTTAATCCCAACTCTCCAACTTTGATGATGGGGTAACATCACAGTAACATTTCAGCTTTGTGAGTTTTTACTCCCTTCAGGCTATTTTTATTTGTGACAATGCCATGCAGCAACAGGCTCATTTATCACTGTTAAATATAAAAACTTCCCAAACCTTCAGAAACCAAAGATACTGCAACACACCTGCTTATTTTTAACGCACAGTTATATCTTCTGCATATTCATGTATTGTTTTCTGCAACATCAGGGAATTTCCTGGTGAAGTGTAATTTGTATTTCTCTGCATCACTTTATCTATCCATGCATCCCTGTCTCAGGGTCTGGGCACAGACGAGAACACCCTCATTGAGATTCTGGCGTCCCGGAACAACAAAGAGATCCTGGATATAAAGAAAGTCTACAAAGAGGGTAAGTCCCAACAAATTTTAAAGTAAAAAGCTTCAGTTTCACTAAGCAAGTGTTTGGAAATGACAGGAGTTAGTGGGAAATTGGAGCCTTAGGATTAGTAAAGAAGGTGAGCACATCAGAAATTAACTCGCTGAAACATAATTTTATATTTGGAGCATTAATTTTGTAACTTTTCCCTTCATGCTTTCTGTGTTTCTTAAGAATACAAGAAGGATCTGGAGGATGACATCAGGTCTGACACCGGTGGAGAATTCAGGGCTGCTCTCCTTGCACTCTGCAAGGTGTGTGTGTGTGTGTGTGTGTGTGGCATTTGCTTTTTGCCTTACACTGTGTGTTTCATTCGGACACAAGTAGCACAAACAATTATCCAGTCACAGTACCAGGATGTCCTTATGTTCTGAGACAACATAACACTCCCTTCAAAAGCTAGTAGTTCATAGAAAATAAACATCTCACTCCCTCTTTACACACATACATTCCAACACAATGGGTTTTTTCCCGTACCAAACAGAGATGTAAACTTCACTGACGTCCCCTCAGCATGGAACGTCGTTCCACAGTTTACAGACCTTGACTCCTCGAGCACAGGGAGGTTGTTGCACTTAGTTTGGAGCTTGTTGATTTGATTCTAAGTGATTTCGTGTCATAGGTTGTCAGGCAAATCAGCTGCTTCCAAATTTAATAGCTTAACTAATATGAACAGATCATTGTGTTTACATTTCACTTCCTGAAGCTTTTCGTCAAATGCCTGAAGAAGTTGATTAAACTAACCTGCATGTTCAGATGTACAAGTTTAGTTCTTGCCGAGTAGTAAAACAAACTGTTTGCACACAGTGCTCAATTCTTCTTTATCTGGTTAGAGCTGTGCTGCAGTAGCAACAAGGCTCCTTCCCAAATACTCAGTTCCAATGAGATTTCATCTTCTTAGCTGTTATCTCACTCACCACATAATTTGGTCTCTTTTGAAATGTGGCTTTGTGATAACTGCTTTAAGCTTGGGACTTTAATTTTATTAAAAAAACAGTTTCTCTATTTCTCTTGAAAATCTAAAAAGATCATCTGTTTTTATATTCTTGAAAGTCGCCATAATACATGTCAGTGATGACATGTAACCATTATGAGGCAACCACCCTGGAGGACATTTTTATCAATTATTATATCCAATTTGTATTTATAGCAGAAAAGAGATTTTCAAATAAGCTAGTGTCACACAGCAAACTAAAGTGCAGGGTCATCCCAAGCCCCCCTTCCTTAATAATACCAGACATTGTTTTAATTGGATTCACTACAGTGAAGTTGCTCTGTCTCTGCTCATCACAGGCCGGCAGGACTGAAGGAGTTAGCGAGCAACTGGTCGACAGCGATGCCAGATCTCTGTACGAGGCTGGCGAGGGGAGGAAGGGCAAAGACTGCTCTGTGTTCATTGAAATCCTAACCACCAGGAGTGCCCCTCATCTCCGCAGAGGTTCGCTGGCAAACTGCCTCATTTCTAACCTTTGACGTTTTCCTGTTTCCTCCTGTTTGGTTCTAACGCTCTTCATCTTCATCCTCTGCTTCAGTGTTTGAGAGATACTCAAAGTACAGCAAAGTGGACGTGGCCAAGGCTATCGACCTGGAGATGAAAGGAGATATTGAAAGCTGTCTCACTGCAGTAGGTAAAGGCATAAACCTCTACTGTAACTTTAACACTGAAATATTTATTCATTGAATGTAACCTATTCTTTAAATGACCACAGTGAAGTGTGCTGGAAGTAGGCCTATGTTCTTTGCTGAGAAGCTCTACTTGGCCATGAAGGTACAGCATGTAAAGAATACTCACAAAATAAATTACAGAGATAAATGACTCTGCTGACGGACTCTTTTCTGTCCATCAGGGTAGCGGTACCCGCAAGCACACCCTGACTCGCATCATGGTGAGCCGCTCTGAACTGGACATGAAACTGATCAAGATCGAGTACAAGAAAAACTACAGCAAATCACTGTACCAGGATATCCTGGTGAGCAAACTTCTGATCACAGATGATACCAATAAACCCGTGCTCAGTGTTATGAATTGTTCATACATACGGCAATCCACAATACAATAAACAGCTTCTTTATTTACCGACTTTTTTCTTTCTTTTGTTTTTCAGGATGACACTAAAGGAGACTACGAGAAGATTCTGCTCGCTCTCTGCGGGGGTGAAAACTAAACACCAATCAATGGTATTAAATCTCATGTGACCAAAGATCCACCACCAGCGGTGGAAAATGACCTTTAACTTCTTGACACATATTGTGCCCTATGTTCTTGTGGAGACCTTACAAAACTCTCTTTTCTCTTAGTGACTGTCATAAGATTTAGAAGATAATAACAACAACGAGCAAAGTTTAGCATGGAGTCTGCGCTGCCCTGCCTCTTCTAGTTATTCCTCCCCTCCCAGCGGTGTTATAATGGACATATGATCTGTCATTCTCATAGCTGATGCTAGAAAGGAAGCTAAAGTCATGTTGCAGCTGATAACATGTAAACTATAATGTCTATGATGTGCACAGATTCCCCTGTGTCTGTTACAGTCAGTAGTAGAAGTCAACTTGAAGGAGCTTGGATATTCTGAAAATAAAACCTTTGGTATGAAGGCTTATTCCTGCTGTCTCTGTTTTGAAACTCACACAATGTCACACTGTCCACATGCAATACATATCAGACAGACACAAGCCAACAAGCTAGAGAATGAAACGTGTAGCAGACTAATTTAGTATTCTCCTATTTTTATAATATACAAATGAAGTTCATTATTAATATTACTAAAGTACATCTTTCATGCATCTGTACTTTACTCAAGTAGATTTAGTAGGTACTTTTCTCTTTCCCACCATTACATCTAACACAGATTCTAAACCATTACATTTTTTTTACAGTGCACTGCTCTACATCTTCACATTGACAATTTAAGTAATCAATCAACAAGAGGTGAATTGATCCACTGATCCAATCAGAGGGCAGGTAACATTTTGACCCCCCCCCCCCCCTCCTTCACAAAGAAAAACTTGCAGAGGTCACTGCAAAGATTGTTTAAGATAAGAGGCTACACTGTGCACATACTTTTACTATTCACACTTTTAGAAGCAAGTACTTACTTTTACTCAATAATGAAAATTCACTCATTATCTACTCACCACTATGCCATTGGAGGGGTGGGTGAAGTCTTTGAGTCCGAAATTTCAAATTAGATCTCGAAACAGCATAATTAACTCTATATTTTGAGCCTAAATATCCGCTGTTATCCTCCCAGCCCAGAGCTGCATTACATTCTCGTGCACACACCGCACAAGCTCTCTCACCAGGGGCATGAGACGATTTCAATGAGAACTTGTGAGAGCTGCAGTAGAGAGAGCTTAGAGGATGTTGACGCTTAAAACATGGTGTAAATAATGCCATTACGAGTGGAATTTGAATGTTGGGGTTTACAACACTTGGATGAAACCACAGGAGCCATATGGAGGCATTTCAATTAAATTTAAATGTTTGAAGAAGTGGTTCCATTTACTTTGATTGTATTGGATTCGACTGCAATGCTCTTTACCCTGAGTGTTTTGTGGACTCAAACACTTAACCCACCCCTCCATTTGCACAGTGGTGAGTAGAATATTGATTTTTGGGTGAACTATCCCATTAATATGTTAGGGTACTTTTACTTTTACTTGAGTACATTATTGTGTATTTATGTGTACTTTTACTTGAATATAATGTTTGAGTACTTGCTCCACCACTAGTATTTGGTGGGTCACAGTCAAACTCAATTACATATCACACCAGCTAGAGTGTATAGCTGGACAAGGGTTGCCAGGTTGGTTAATAAAATAGATTTAAATGCACTGGCATGTAAATGATTGAAAGTTTAAGAAACAAAACATGCAGCACTTAGTCTTTTAACCCAGTGAACAGAAAACATACGCTCTCTGCTCCCTTGATTTTCCATCTGCAGAATACGGATTACTGACGCCGCACCTGGCAACCCCATAGCTCATTCAGACCTCAACTATAAACAAGCGGAACACTCTCTCAGGTTAGCTGCTGCTAAGCTAACAACTTTATATCGCAGCATGTGTTAATGCTTCTCTTGATGCGGGATTCGTTTTGTCATTGTAAAAATAATCCTTAAATAATTCTGACATGTTGTACTAACGTGTTATAAAGCAGCTCCTCACTACGGAAGCATGACAGCATGCGAGCTAGCTAACCTCAGCTAAACAGCCAGTGCTAAGACTAGCTCAGCTGTCAGACGTGTCAGTGGGATGTCAGCGATGTAAAGTCACGTTTGTGTTTGAATTTGATGATGAAATGAAGTGTGGTCGCCTCAGTATTGATCCTATCTGTGTACATTAGTGGTTTGACTTTGAGCAGGCCAACGTTAGCCAGGAACAGGAACCTGAGCTGGACAGAGAAGTAGCAAACCATCCTGAGCAGACAGGAGCTATAATGACAGGGTTTATCCACCCTGCGTCTTCATCATCAGTATTATAGGTTGAACATTTGTGTCCCTGAACCTCACACTCTCTCTTCTCATTCCAGGTCAGTCAGTTCATCTGGGTCAGTCAGTCCATCTGAGGTTCTCCCCTTACATCAGTGTGATGACGGTGACCTGACCCATGGACCTCAGCAGTGTCAGCACAGTGAGAGAGTCACGTCTGGAGCTAGATCATGAATGACAAACTAGTGTTTTTGGGCCTGCTGTACTTTGTCCAGGGAATCCCCTACGGCCTCCAGTCTTCACTGCTCCCTGTCTACCTGCGTGGAGCTGGTCACTCCCTCACCCGCATCGGCTTCACCAAGATCCTCTACTTCCCCTGGGTCCTCAAGGTGCTCTGGGCTCCACTGGTGGACCGGTTTAGCACAAAGCGTCACTGGCTGGTGGGGACAGTGTCTGGCCTGGCTCTGACATGCCTCTCCAGTGCTGCCTTGGCCCCAGAAGCGCATATCTGGGGAGTAGCAGGAACCCTGTTGGCCATGAACACCCTGGCCTCTGTCCAGGACATTGCTGTAGATGGAGCAGCGGTGGGGTTGCTGAAAGGCCGTGGGGAGCTGGGGCTGGGCAATTCGGCTCAGGTCGTGGGCTACAAAGCTGGGTCGGTGTTCGCTGGCGGTGGACTGCTGGCGGTGATTGACGTGGCTGGATGGAGCTGGATGTTTATGCTGCTGACGTTTGTGTACGCAGGGGTGGCTCTGTTTGTGTGGGGGACCCCTGTGCTGGATGATGAGACTTTGAGGGGCCAGCAGGCTGAAGCCAGCAGAAGGGGAGGGCAGGGAATTGATGCTATGAAGCCATGGAGGGTGTGGAGGAAGATGCTGGCAGTGCCTGGCACGCCATGGACAGTCCTGTATGTCCTGACATACAAACTGGGTGAGTCTGAGTTTTGCAAACAACTATATGGTTAAATTATACTATAATTTCTTCACTTATTAGACCTAAAATTGATACTAATAGTTTTTCTGAACCGTTTCCAATGAAAATACATTTTATTCGTTGGGCTAAAGCAGATAATGATTTTTATCCTCAATTAATGTGGCAAAAATGTATAATTAACTTTTAATAGTCTGACCTATTCAGTCAAAAGATTTTATGTTTTTAATGATCCTCACATTGGAGAGGCTACAAACAAAAAAGCGGTTTGGGTTTTTCTTGATAAATGACTAAAACAATGAATACATTATTATCTTTTGTTTTAATTAATTGTGCAATCAGATAATTGTTGCAGGTCGTATCATTTTCAGGTTGAACAATCATCACAGGAACCCAGTAAGAAAGAAAGTGCAAGAAATAGCATTTTATTTATTTCCTCTTTACAAACTAGGCAGCAAAAGAAAACAACTTCCTATAAGCAATGGCAAGTTATACTTCCTGAAATGCTCTTTGTCCTATTGCGAACCTCAGTTGTAGTGTAGGGCCCAGACATCACCACTAGATGTCTCTGTTGACTCACCAATGAAGGCTGAAGTCATGAGCGAGCGCATGAAACGGGATTGTGGGGTAATTGTTGTAAGGCAGTTTATCTTGTTTTAACAGGTCCTGTGTGCACGTTGAAAAGTACAGAGCCATCTTAGATGAAACTGTTGTTTTAATGTCACATAAAGTGTAAACCTATGATGAGAAGACAGTGTTAGTTTGAACTAATTAACTCTAGAAAGAATGAATTAGACTCTCTCCTTGCAATTGAAAAGTCGAATTCAAGCAATAAAACCAACCCATATTCATTTGAATGTACTCAGGGGCTTTTGATGCTACACCCTCACTTGCCCTCTGAGCTTCTAGCTATTATTAGCTATGTTTGCAAACTGCCCATAGATGTTCATGGGCTACGGAGTTAGTTTTCTGACTTGTTCAACTCGTCTCTACTTGTGCTACTGTAACACGCCGTTCAAATATTCACCACTGTGCTGCTGTGGCCACTTGCGGCCTCTTGGGGCCTCAGTCAGAAAAAGTTAGAAACTACCTTTAAGTTCATGCAGACATTTTTTTAAGTCAGTCTGTTAATGCCAGTAAGAAAGTAAAAAAAAAAAAAATGAAGGAGTTTTCAAACAGTCAGGCTTGTGTGTGGGAGAGAGAGTTGATATGACCAGAGTTTGGTGTTTGGTAGCAGAAGGGGATTATTTAAGGATTAGTGTCTTTGTGTCTGTGGCGTTCAGAAACTGAAATGAAAGACGGCGCATCATGCTGATGTGTGTTTATGTGTACGTGGGTGGTGGGAATATAATTGTCTGCTCACATTTGCATAGTCTTTATTTGTGTATGTCCACAAATGTATATGTCTTTGTTTTTAAATTGTGTGTGTGTGTGTGTGTGTGTGTGTGTGTGTGTGTGTGTGTGTGTGTGTGTGTGTGTTTTGAGAGAGTGTTAAGGGTGGCTTAGTAATCGGATGAGCCACAGCAGACGACACTACTAGACAAAATGTGAAGGCTGGCTGGACCCCTTAATCTGTCTAGGGAGCAGCCCCCCAGCACTCTCTCTGTCACACGAGCACACACGCTATCGGCTGATGCTCATGATTACAACAATAATTACTCCCAGTGTTTTCAGTGATTGAGCTCTGGAGATAGATTGACGGCCTTGTCGCTAGTTAGCATTTCCTGTTGTAGTCCTCAAAATATTTCCCACCTTTGTAGAAAGAGAGGATTGTGTAATATTTTAGATTATGCCTGGATGTGCCAGCATAATTGTCAATGTGAGACAGTATTGTTTTTGTTCAAGGGGGTGCGTGGGTATGTTTGTGTGAGACTGTGATCTGCCTGTCTGAACCCCCCCTCTTTCTGCCCCACACACACTCACCAAGCTCAGACCCCTCTCCCTCACCAATCGCTAATGAACTCTGAGTTTGTGCCGCATCCAATGCTGTGGCCAATCATTGAGGGCCCTCTGAGAGATGGACAGAGAATGTGAGGGGGACGGAAGGAGACACTGGTGAGAAAGAAAGTATTGAGGGAAAAAGATACAGAAGGAAGCTCAAAAGTGAAATATTGAGTTGTGAATAAGCTCCAACAGAAATATTTTAGTGTGGTTGTTGTTATATGGGGAAACAAATTGCAGTTCTTATTATCTTAAGTGCAAACTCAAGTGTTATTACTTTCAATTTGACAATTTGAGGAAGATAATTATCTATATCTACCTAAGTTATTTTTTCATCTATACTAGTTTATTGCCCTCTATAAATATGATTATATTTAGTATATTATTTTATGGCCATATCTAAATTATTTGTGATAAACCACAAATCACTAGTGTAGTTCATGATATAGTGGTGCAAACATCAGTACTAGTACCTTTTAGAAGTAGGGACCCTGTATGTCTGACAAGAAATGTAAATTATAGTGAGAAGAGGTGGTGGCTTTCTCTGGGAACTGTGCAGGTGGATGGAGAGATGGGTGGATGAACAGAAAAAAGAGAAAAGATTTGATCAAATACTCGGCTTTAACCTTAACCTCCAAAATAAAAGCTAGAAGAGTTAATGATAACATTAGAATATGCTCTCATTAAATAGAGAGATGTAAATATCCTCTTCGACATAAATGTAGTAAACAAAATAATAGAAACATATCTCAGAATGAGGCAATGCAGCTCAATAGCGCCATCAGCTACAGCCTTTGAAATAACACATGGTCGCAATGGTTTCATCAAAGACTGATAAAACCTTTATGAAGTTAAGATTTCCTGCAGGACTGTTGTAGTGGGCAGCATCATGATGAAAGTGGGGGGTACATGTAGACATGTTCAATAAAAGAGGACAGTGGAACAGTACTAAAATCATTAACTGCATATTAAACTGTATGTTGAAAGACTTAAAAGATGACAGCAAGTGGGTAGAGTTGATGGAGTTCTGAGAGCTGGAGTGGTGGTGGAAGAGTGGGAATGAGACAAGACACAAACTTACAGAAGGGGGTGCAGAGGGCAAAAGAGGGACTGCACAGAGGGAGGCTGAAGGAGGGGATGAATTAATGAACAACCACCACATGGTGCCCTGAGAGAGACGAAGAGCAAAATGGCTGTAGAAGTAAACATATTTATGCATGCTGACACAAACAGGTGCAAGATCAATCAACACGTTCTCTTTAACACATAATGAGCTCAATCCAAATGCAGGGTTTTCAGTTTTGTTTGACTTAACGATCAAAGCTCAGCAGTAGTGCTTTCGGGTAAGAAAAACATTTTGACATTTACCAGGGAATAAAGCATGGCTCTTGATGAATCTTGATGAAAGAATCTGGGATATTTAGGGGACATCTATATGATGAATTTGGTGCACCTTGGGTGAGTTTAAGGGGACTGTCGGGCCCCAGGGTGGGTATGCACTCCACTGGGTGCCATTCTAGTTTTCTTTAATGGTTTGAATAATGCTAAATGGATAAATTGCCAAGTTTTGCCATCAATCTACACTCAATAATCCACAATAAAGTGTCTGTAATAGTATTCAGGCCCTTTTCTGTGGTGCTATAGTGGTCAGATGCATCCTTGAGATGTGTCGATGGTTACAATGAGAGTAGATTGGTTTTAAAAAATGGCAATTTTATATTCTGAAAATTTAATCTGCAACAATAAAGTGCCAAAACTAAAGGGATGTGAATATTTTCTGAAGCCACTGTGTCTTTTTTATCATGCAATATCTAAAACATTGTATTTGCTGTTAGACCGTGAATGGATATTTCTCAAAAAAATAAACACAGACAACAATCAACCCTGTAATCTTAACAAGATTGGGATCGGCGGAGAGAGATAGTGGGAATTTTAGCTTTCACCGAGTTGCAGAGTGAATTTTCCCATGTTCATGAGCCCTTAGGGCCAAATAGTACATCTTGACACTTGCATTGATCTGGAGGGACTCCTAGTGTTTGTGTGTGTGTGTGTGTGCGTGCGTGTGTGAGTGTGCGCGTGCACGTGTGTGTGCGTGCGTGCATGTGCGTGTATTTAAAATGCAGTATGTAAAGACCTACCTCTGTTTGCCATGCTCGCAGCAGGGAGAGGTAATGTTGTGCAGGGTGACTGTGTGTCCTCAGTGATCTCTCCTGCTCCGCCGGCTCTTTTGTCTAAGCTGGAGCAAGGAGGTCGTGATATGACCCCACTGTCCTTGTTGACCTCTCGCCCTCATCTAACCCCTGGCCTCCAGACTAACTCTTTCCACTAGTAGCGCTGGTGCTCCTTAAGTAAGTAAGTAAAGAGAACCAGCACAAAATGTAGGCTCACCATTTACGACATGCAAAGCAACACATTCATATTTTTCCCATCTTAATAAACAATTAACAGAATGCAGAAATGTTCTGTTTTATTTTGATGTCACAAAGTGAAGTAGTGCTTTAAGAGGTGCTTCAAGTGCGGAGAAACAACTCCTGAAACGATAAGTGAGATGCCTAACATGAGAGATACTGTGACAAACTACTATTTGTTGAAGAACTGAATTGATGTTATTAGCATCAAGGTGTTGCTTCTTTTCTTTGTGTCTTTGGTTTTGCTGTAAAAACTGACCAGTATCTTAAAACAATCTTTTCACCCAGTGTATTACTTAGTGAGACGCCTGTTTTTAACAACTGGCACTAGTTCTGTTTGTATTCAGATCTCTGTCTATTTTGTGCAATCAAAGATGTGAAGCAAAGAAATCAATGTCACCAAACCTGGACTCAAGTATTAGCTATACTAAGAGAGTAACGGTCAATAACTCTGTCTCATCAGGATGACATGATTGTGATCATTGTGATCATCCATCCCGTGATCACTGCCACACAGACAAATATGCAAGAGGGCAGCGTTTTTATTTGTGGATAGTGGAGACATCGTCCATCTTTAAATACAGTCTATAATTTATTTCTCTCTCCTCTCTTCATGTCTTTGTGTCAGATGTCTTAGACCCTACTTCGTGC